ATCGCAGGTCGTCACCATGTCATACATCTGCACCAGTTTCAGTAATAGCCCATTTCAATTTAACATTAAATTTATTGTAGTTCACTTCCAATCAAATATATAATTTATTGTAGGCTGTGCCCCAGTAAAGTATAAATAACACAATAATCTTCCTGTGTTACCTAATGATTGAATAACTGAGTCTTATTCTCATTACGACCAGAACCTAGTAAGGTTGACATTGTTGAAGTCACACACGAAATAACAGTTGACAATTTATTTTTGCTTTTCCATCAAAATGTTAACCCTTTTTATGATATTACATTTGTTATTTATTTTAATTCCAAGACCTGAAGTGAAAAGCAAAACAAAACCATCGTTATTTCGTTCTTCGAATTATCTTTTAACCCATTTATGAAAATGTCACACCATATATCGTTATATTTATATGAACACACGGGCCAAACCTCTCAACGCCTATGGGCGGTTTTACAAGTAAGCATAGAACACTGGGATCCAATGTGGACTCGACTCAGTAAGTGGTGGTGCCCACTGCGGAGTCAACTCCAGATCTGTAGGTATGACAATAGACAGAAGTGCGGCACGCACAGTTTGGGGCTACCTATTCCTACCTACCCCGACCACAGCAATCCATCTCTTGAACTGCCGTCATGTTATTTATTACATTAGTCAAAAAAATAAAAAAGATAACGTTAGTCTCCCGGACTGCACTCATTATATTTTTATCATTTGAGTTAAAAGAACAAACAATTAATGGTACAATCTCCCGGACTGCACTCATGTTACTTATTATTTAAGTAAAAAAACTAAAGAAGTAATGATACAACCTCTCGTACTGCAGTCATCACTCATGTTACTTATTATTTATGTTAAAAATGTTAACGGGACAATGTCCCAGACTGTACTCATGTTACTTATTATTTAGCAATTTATCATGATGGCATAATTATTCATGGTACAACCTCACGAATTGCACTTTTTTCTAGAATATTTATGCAAATAAAAAACCTCACGTAGCCTCACGGACTATGCTCCAGGATTTCTCCTGCGACATTTCTTATACAGCTATGAACCTTACAGATTGAACTGAAGTACAGTCTAGAGTTGGTATTAGCCTTGCAGACTAAACTCAATTGCACGAGGTACTAATATTAAAGCAGAGGAAATGTTTCATTGTTTTTACCGAATAACATGAAAACTAATGAACTGACTTTCATAAATTCTTTCTCCATTAGGAAGCTTTATTAGCCCACGTTTAAATAAATTTCACCAAAGCAAAGATGGCTTGTAAATATATATGCTACCAAAAATATTTAATAATCACCACCTTTTTAAACTTTTTTATTTTCACCACGGTCAAAGGCAATATGTATGTTAAATATAATTTCTAAACGATTAAAGAAACAGCTTTTTATTATTTAAAAGGTTTCGTAACAATACGAAACAAACTTTCCATTAAAAAATAGTATTTTTTAATGTTTTAGCTGTACATGTAAAATAGTAGTTTTTAATGTTTTAGCTGCTGTGTGAAATAAATGGGTGCTATTAAAAATATAATTCAATAGTGAAGATGTACGTTTTTTGTACTTTCAATAAAAAATAATTTCCACTCTATTGAGGGCAATAGCCTAACCTCTATACAAAAAAAATTAACATGTCCTTTGTGCATATTAATATCTATGATTACACATTATTAATATGTAATCTGTACACTGATTACCTTCTGTTAGCGAATCCTCTTGTAAATCATAGTAATGCCATAGGATAGAACTTATCCGCTTCTTCATAATCCTGTCCCCAAACCCGAACGGTGGCGATATTTACGTCGAGTTTTTAACATTTTCTCTTGATTTTACAAGAAAGATACTCCTCCTTAGTGGAGTTTGCGTTTTTCCATGGAGTTTTGTAACTTAATAAACAAAAAACACTTTAAATTAAACGCGAACGCAAAAATACGTGCACGATGGCCGCCACACAAAACGTGTATGAATATATTGAGCACAGACCAATAAGAGAACAAGTTATATTGAGATACCCACAATTTTAGGCAAAGGGTAATGTTACTCTAAAATTGTGTACGATGGCAACACATAATGCGTGCTACAAGTGAATTAAGTGTAATCTCGAAGGGGGAATCACAGAAGTATAATCTATCTTAAACATTATAGTTTTCCTTAAAAGTTCATGAAAAACACTATTACCATGTATTTTTTCAAGTTTTTAAAGCCAATAGTTTTGCTTTTAGAGGGGGTACGCCCTATTCGAACAAAGATTAGAAGTTCAATATTTCGCAAGCGGACAAATATTTTTAATAACCTAATCAAAGATACCCCACTCGATTGGGTAGACGATGAAAAAAATACCCATGTTAAACGTAGGGGAGCCAACCGTAAAAAATATATTTTCAAAATTGTATTCTACCATTTTGTCGGCATATCTCCACAAAATTACAGCTCTCTATTGCTTTCTGTCACGCAGCAAAACCGGGGACGGACAGACAGACGGACATGACGAAACTATAAGGGTTCCTTGTCAGGACTACGGAAACCTGAAAATGGAATGTATAACAAAACATTACTTTTAGCAACGTTAATAATATAATTCCTATATAACAAGGCTGTCGTTTTCACAATTTACTTAATGACCTTTCTAATAAACTTCTGTACTATCTACTGAATAAGCTTCACCGAATTAGTTCTCAACAACTACACTATTATTGCGAGCTACTTAATCAAACGCTTTACAAAATTCACCAATAACTTCCCTGTGGCAGTCACTATTCCAAAAGTCTTTAAGCATCAACTGTGAGTCTATTACCTGCTTTTTAGCAGCTAAAAATTCCATTACAGGTGTAAGGGGATAAAAATTCGACGGTTTAAACTTTGCTTTGCGTGAAATTTAATGATGATAATCTAGAATATCATTTACTCTAAAAGGCACATTTATGAAGTCGTAAATTAAACTAGTCGTATGAACACCGCTCGGCATTTAGAGGGATTATGTGCATTTCCCGATGGTTAAAATGAACTTTTAAATAATTTAGTTTCATAGTGTAATTGTTTCCTTCAATTATGGTATTATAGTTTTAATTTTCAAACTAAAATTTCGTTTTTTGACTTTATTTTAAACTTGCTTACCCCCGCGACTTTGTCTGCGCTAAAGTGAGTTTTCAGAAATCCCACAGAAACTTTTTTTTTCCGGGATGAAAAGTATCCGTATAGGTATGGCACATATGCCAATCTAGATGATAAATTAACTAAATAACTTTACCAAATTTCATTCAAATCTGTTCACTCGTTTTAGCGAGAAAAATAATAAAATAAATAAAATTAGTTTATATTTATTAAATATATATATTTCTGCATTTATCCCTCTTTAATCGTTAAAATCACTAATGAAAACAATTTTATATTTTATTGTGCAGTCTGTATAGTACCCAGCAAACTTATTATATTTGTCTGTAGTTTTTCTCAAGAAGTTTGTCCCTGCCTATAACCAATTATTAAGTTGCCAACGATCTCAGAGAACAAGTAGGTTCATGTTCATGCATAATCAACTTTAGCAAGTACTCCTGCAGCCTTGCCTTCAGAACAGCTTTTATTTTTATTTGATATAAAATCTTTTAAATTTGGGTTTGATAGTGTCTGGCATCCACGTGTCAGAAAGGAACCCAATTGAAAACCAGCGTCAGTGCAAACTGACACAATGCTGAATTGGGTCCTTTTCAGCCCAGCTGTGGATAAATAGTATGTAATGTATATTTTTATATATTTTTTATTCGAAACGTTCTCGATGCGGATCCATTTTTTAATGAGACAAGAAAAATTTAATTGGCTCTCGAAAAAATGCGGAGGAAAATTTGAAAATCGAACAGTGGTATTTTTACTTTTAAATTATAGAAGTTTTCAAAATAATTAGAAGTGGCCAGTGCCTTATACATAAAAACTTTTTTTCGCAAAACTTTCTGAGTTGCCTGGTATTTATTAGACGGGGCAAAAAAAATGGACATAGAACAATATTGTTTTACTTTCTATTCTTTGAAATATACTTTCATGGTCGCATCATAATAATTAGCGAGATTGCTTCTACACAGTTTTTTAGCCATTTCTCGATATTTTGCCACTTTTGCAAATGCCATGATGCCACCGAGCAAATGCTAGATTTATTATATCCGCAATCGGGGAAGAAGCTGTCTGAAACCTGGACTGAGTGAAGCTTTTTCTAGTAAAAGATTTCTTTAATTTTTTTTAACTTTTTCCGAGGCTTTGGTTAGGAGAAAACCTTATTCAGTAAAAAAAAATGGGTGCGTGTACTTATGTAGGCGCGTGAGAAGTTATCCTTCTTTGGCATAATTTTAAAATTAGTTTTTAATTGCATGCAAATAATTAATTACAATAAATTAACAAAAAGTCTGGAAAAGGACACAGTCAATAAAGTTCAGTTTTAATTTGAAAAAATAAATAAATAATCAAAATATTCAATTAAAATCGCTACTGAATATAATTTATTAGAACGTATGTGATTTGCACTTGTATGAAACTCAAACACGTATTCCGAATATACAAACTAGAAACATGTGGATAAATATTATAATTATGAATACCTATAACTGTTACTTTATTACAATAATAACATAAAAGTAACATTGAAAAATAAAGATGTGGTTTTTGGTTCTACTACACCAATGGTCAAGAGATGGCGCTGTAGTCTCCTGAATCGCGCTTTGGTTTCGTTGTTCCAGATTAATAAATACTTTTGATAGGCCTTCACAATGCAGTCAATGTATTTAGCAAATAGAGATTCTATTTCTATTTTGTTGGTACATTTTCTTAATGTGCGGTAAACACGCTTTAGCGACCAACTTCATGCTGTTAAAATTTTGTGTTACAGTGATGCGCGCGCATCTTGAAATTTCACTCTCATCATTTTTTTATAACGCGCCTAAAGAAGTATAACTTCAAAAACAATTTTGAGTAATATAAATTGTTGCATGGCTGCAGGTGGCAGGCGCCCGGGGTCGGCGGCGGGTCGGGGCAGGGCGCGCGCGGTCTTGGCGCGATGCGCTGACGCCATGCGCCGCCGCCCGCGCCCGCGCCCGCACCGCCCGCACCCGCGCCGACCGACATGCCGCGCCGCGCCGCGCCGCCCGCACTCGCGCTGCTGTTCGCATTGCTGCTCGCCGGTAAGCAAACCTCATCATTGTGGAATGGGTTGATCGAATGGGCTCTGCTCCACGAGGCTTAAATGGACACTCCATTACACGAAAGGCAGCGGTATGGCGTCATTTTTTATTGATTTTGTTAAAAATTATTACAATAATTCTTATTTGCTGTGCCCGACTGGATCCATAATCTGATCTATAAATATTTTGAACACCTTTTGTAACATTATGGATTACAATAAATTGGTTATGAGCTAAGGCTGTATCACTGCCATTGCTGAAGTCCATGGGAGACGATAACCTCTTAACGTCAGACTGCATGTAGGCTCGTCTGCCTTTTTCAATTTCCACCCCAATGGTCGATTCAGTTCTTACCGCTTGTTAACTTGGTGACCTCTAAACCTTAGTAAATAGTTCAGTGCTAAGACACCGAATAATATCATTCTACGCCCATCATTTAAATTTTTCTGTATTTTTATATTGCCTTCGAAGGAAGGAAGATGGGCATTTGATGTTTAGTGTCATCAGCAATGTCAATGACGCAGCCATGCCACTGCCTTTAGTGGAACACTCTATATAAGCCTCTCTTGCAGAGGACCATGTCATAGTTACCATCAAAAATATAAATGTAAAATGAGTGCTAAAGTCAATAATATGATATTGCCTTGATTGTTGACTTCAACGACAAAAAAGTGAGATATAAATGGGTGCCAAATTCAGTGGTCAGTCCTGAAATTTCCGAGGTAGAGAGCCTCCGCCTTAAAGGAGGCTACAATTGAGACGTTCCGCACGTGGTTCAAGAAGCTCGAAGAACGAAGAGGGAAAGACAGCAAAAAAATAGAATTGAAGAAATACTGGTTACACCGCACGCTAAATCACTAATAGAATTTTACTCGCAAAAACGGATTGCTGAGTCAATAAAACTCAGCAGGCCGAACACCCGTTTAACTGGACGCTGCAAACTCAAGAGACACCAATTTCATATGAAATTAAGTGGCATTGATGTTTGCAGTATAAAAGTGGGCCTCTTATCCACAAAAGAAGTATTTATTTATTTATTTACTCGTACTATTCATTGTCATTCTACAAATGGCATAAGACATTATCGAACACTTGGGAGATCATCGACACTACAAATCATAGAATCGAGGGAATCCAACTAGTATTTGGGACATTATGCCCAGAGATGTGCGTAGTACTTCACGTGGGATCTAATTTGCGCTTTGTAAAGCAGTACTCCAAGCACGAACAATTAGCGAGAGAGTATTCGTATCGTCATGTCAAATTTTCTATGGAAAAGCTAGTTGGTTCTTAATTTGCGCTAAGTAAAGCAGTAGGTACCTGTTATTAATCAATGTTACTCTGGCAAATAAAATAATCCTTCCTCGGCTGAGAATCGAACCGGACCGCCCGGGTGGCAGGTGACCTAAAATAAATTTATTATAACTTATTATCATGTCAGGGTGCGGCGGCAACCCGGACGCCAAGCGGTTGTACGACGACCTGCTCAGCAACTACAACAAGCTGGTGCGGCCAGTGCTCAACGTCAGCGACGCACTCACCGTGCGCATCAAGCTCAAGCTCAGCCAGCTCATCGACGTGGTACGTACGCATACTAGCACGCATATTGAGCTGGTTCTTTAAATTTATGTAGATCGGATAATTAATAAAAATTCCCTTTTAAATTATAATTTCGTTTTATTTTTATTTTTGCAACTTTACTTCCTAACGTCCTAATCCCGAATCCCATTCCATTCTCTCCATCACAAAATGGCGCTAACACTCTTCTGTCTTTCTTCCTCATGCATACGTCTCGCTCACACACTCGCTACTTTCCGATTCCCACATTTATTTAATACCCACAAACCAATCATGTCTGCCCCATAAAAATATTTTATTTTCTGTTTTCTTTGCCACTTTCTTATTTTGTTTTGTACAAACCTTTTTAAATTAGAAAACTTAAAAAAAGGTAAATTTAAAAAATCAATGCACCCGACTGTTTAAATATTACTTCAAATAAAAACTGGAAAAAATAAAATTTTGTGGTCTATAATTCAAAGTAAGAAACAAAGCTACTTTAACAGTCGGGATTCATTAAATATTCAAGAATGGATCAAATTATTCAATAATGGTAAACATTTATAGGTCAAGGTGTACATTTCTATAATAAGATTCCTAATGATATTTTTGATTTGCCTCTTCAGAAATTTAAAATACACATTAAAAACTGCTAACTTAAGAAAGGATATTATACTGTAAATCAATATTTGAATGATAAAACGGCCTGGTTGAAATTTTACCTATAGATAATTTTTCAAATGTTATATTAAAACTGGGGGCCTTCGAAAGGGTTTTGAAGAGAAACTTGAACTTACTCCCTTTCATATACATGTTCAATTTGTTTTGAAGATTATTTCTTGCTATTTTGGGACTTTTCTTTACACTTATTGTTAGTAAATTCGTTGATTGTCTATTTTTACATATTTGACATTATGTGATGGAAGTTGACCTCCACACATGTTTGCAAGTTTGATGTCAACTTTCAATTGGACTACACTGTATGAAATAAAAAAGGGAGAAAAAACACCCCTTGCTGAATCTCCTGCAGTAGATTTGCGAACCGATGGCCTAGCTTTTCGACATTCACAAGTAACAGCCTATACTGAATAAACGACATAGAATTCTAAACTTTTTTGAATTTTAACAGAATTATAGACTATTGGACTTATTTATTTTATTTCAGATTTTATTTGAAGTAATATTTAAGCTGTCGGGTTTTTTGATTTTTTCAATTTACCTTTTTTATTTCACCCTTTTTAATTAGGATTATAAGACGGTATATACCGCAGTGATCTAAAAGATTGATTTATTGAGACATACAGAGACCTTACCACCAGGGTTACAGATGGGCCTCAATTTTCGCAAAAATGTGTGAAGTTAAATCAAGCCGTTACCTGTATGTATATCTAATGAATGTATAAATTTTACAGTTAACTAGTACTTATTCAAAAAGTACATTTTTGTTTATGTTATTTTTAGTAGTTTAGGAGTAAATATAAAATTCATTTACTTTTATTCGTCGACTATCTAAAATTGGCAGTGGCTGCATTCAATACTAAATTCAATTTGGAATTTGGAGGGGCTAATCTTTGATGCGGCCTTAATCTACTCGGTCGCTCTTGTTGGGGAGCAAGATGAGTGTGTTTTCTAACGAACATACATAATTCCAAAACGTATATACTAGTAAGGGTCAAATCTGTAGGTCATTTAGTTCCAAAATTAAGCGAAACCAAAGTTTTGCATTTATGACACTCACTCACTCATGATTATCAGAATAGAACTAGTACTTCCCTTAAACTCAGAGAGCTGAAATTTGGTACAGAGTTAGGGTTTAATGGCCACATAAAAGGAAAACTATAAAAACTAGGATAATCGAAGATCTGGAGTACCTGGTGACCCTGATTAGAAAACACAAGAGCCCAACCAAACTAATAGAAGAGATCGACATACCGCCTTTACAAAAAATATTCAACTTGGTGGGCCGCTTCATTTGATGTCAAAAATCGAAGGTCTCGAGTATCTGATGAAGAACCCTCAGCTGGTCTCAGCCGTATTAGAGATATGGTAATGCCCCCTTCTACTATTGGTACACAAAAAAATCGACTGTCATTGCAAAAATCCAGCGCAGTAGTACACACCTTTCAATTTAATCTAGCCTATAGCGTCCCACTGCTGGGCTAATGCCTCCCCTTCTACTTTTATAACGCATATAAATAAAATTAACGGAAAACTCTGGATAACACTAGACTGGCTTTTATACTTATACTTACGAGTTTATAAGAAAAAATAGTCGAACGATTAACTTTATTCTACTCGAACATTCATCATCATCATCATCAACAGCCTATCATAGTCCACTGCTGGACATAGGCCTCTCCAAATGCACGCCACTCAGATCGATCTTGGGCTACTCGCATCCAGCTCCTGCCAGCCACCTTGCGCAAATCGTCACTCCATTGTGCCTGAGGACGTCCTACACTACGTTTGCCTAGACGCGGTCTCCACTCCAGAACTCGTCTACCCCAACGGTTATCGGTTCTTCGGCAAATATGGCCAGCCCACTGCCACTTCAACTTGCTAATCCGGTGGGCTATGTCGAACATTACACAAATTAAATAAACAAATTGCACTAAAATATTAATTTCGCTCAAAATTTGGTCAAAATATAATGCATTGGACTAAGAGTGGCGGTGATACCAAGGTCTAGGTCTAAAAAATACCCTTATGGACATTGGCACCTCCATATTCTCTTGTGGCTAAGCCTACGTGGCGCTTTCACGAGTAACCAATCTTGATGGGGTGCACTTCATAAATGTTGACTTCAAGAGTATAAAAGCTCAAGCTTCAGCGATCACCGAATACAACCGGCATAGGCGTAAATACCGCGTCGATCTTTCATAAATTAAACCGTCTAAAAGCATAAATAAAGAACGCGAACGCAATAAGAAAACTGTTGTAAAATGTTCAAGAATCAGAACCGGAAAAAAAGAAAAGAAAGATTTGTAATAATAAAAAGACTACTAAAAAGAAAAAAAATGTGACAAATAAGAAAATCTAATAAAATAAATCAATATGCCCACGTTTCTACAAAAAAAAGTGAAATTCCACCAAAAACATTCTGTAAAAAACAAGCCAAGTCTCGATGGGGATGCTTGTTTATCTCTAAAAAGAAATGAAATCTAGACCAAATCGTGCCAAGACTGCGATTTCTTTATTTTTATAGTTAATGTTGTGTGACTTGGCCGTTGAAGGATACACAAGGGTACAAAACCAGGTGCTACATGACACCATTGCTTGGTGGCCTTCTGGTACTCTAGTCGAAGAAGCGTCACCTATAGAGATGAAGAATTCGTTAAAAATATTTGCTTTAAATCTTGGGTCTTCTTCTACCTGTTTATTTACGTTTAATTTTAAAATTATTTTATCCTTTATTGGGAAGTTTTTTCGTTTTTTCTTTGGTAATTTGCCACATTGTTTTTATTATGTTGTTTGATGTTTCATTATATTTACATTATTTATTTTTTAGAAGTATTTACTGTTCTTTTTAATATATTTTCATATTTCTTATAATATTCTTTAAGTCCATCCATCCATCAGCCTTTTTCCGTCCACTGCTGGACATACGCCTCCCCCATAGAACGTCACAATGCGCGGTCCTGCGCTATCCGCATCCAGCGGCTCCCTGCACATTTGACGATGTCGTCAGTCCACCTTGTTGGGGGCCGCCCCACGCTGCGTCGCCACTCGACGACCTTTCTTACCCAACGGTTGTCAGATCCTAGCGTGATGTGGCCTGCCCATTGCCACTTCAGCGTGCTAACTCTTCGGGCTATGTCGTACACACCGGTCCTTCTGCTTCTTCGCGCTCTTGCATTCTCGAGTAAAAAGATAGATGGAATCGATAAAATCGTTCTCAAGGCATGGCATAAAATTGATAAAATTTTGGGGTAAAAATCGGCCTTTCAGCCCCTTAAATTTGCCTTTACCCCTTCTTGCTTATGACTCGTCATAAATTTCATTCAAAACTGTAATTATATCGACAAGCAAAACCATACAGGCAACAAAGTGACTAATAACAATAGTGTATAAATATACTGGTAGTAGTGTTAGTATTGAAATTGTTGATACTGAGGTTTTATACGTCAAGAACATATTGTTAGAAATAAGGTTTCTCTAAATAAATAATTGATTATTAATAATCTGCATTTCTCATTTCAGAATTTGAAGAATCAAATAATGACGACCAATTTATGGGTAGAACAGGTATGTTTCCAAATTAGAACAAGAATAAAGTCAGTTTTTAACAATGATATAAGTATTAAAATATCTTTACAGAGTTGGTACGACTACAAGCTGTCGTGGGAGCCGCGCGAGTACGGCGGCGTCGAGATGCTGCACGTGCCCTCCGACCACATCTGGCGACCCGACATAGTACTCTACAACAAGTAATTACAATACACCCTTGTTTGCTCTAATGTTTGATTTCCGCTTTTATCTAGGACTTCATCACGTCTTCAAGTTCTAAAATTGGAATTTTATTTTTATAAAAACGCACTTGTTTTCCCTAAATTAAATCAAGAAGTCCGGTTCTTACTGGTTTCGAATAATCCTCCATTCATCCAAATTCCAGGTATTTAACTAGATGCTATCTGAGAGATCCAACCGCTTAAACGTGGTCTTGTTGAAGTGTAGGTAACTATGGGAAATGAGAATATGAATATTGGTGTAATCAGTGCGGACGGCAACTTCGAGGTGACGCTGGCGACAAAGGCGACGCTGAACTACACGGGGCGTGTGGAGTGGCGCCCGCCCGCCATCTACAAGTCTTCCTGCGAGATCGACGTCGAATACTTCCCGTTCGACCAGCAGACGTGCGTCATGAAGTTCGGCTCCTGGACCTACGATGGATTTCAGGTACTTTTTATCTATCTACGTATGTGTAACAATAAAATAGGATATTTTTGATAATTCAAAAAAAATTAAATTCACCCACTCGATTCTTATTAAGCCGGCATAAAGCAAAACTTAGTAGATATATACATAGTTCTTAAAGTATTATCTTCTATGAACGGTCTGAAGAGTCAATAGTTGAAGTGATACAAAAAGAGCTAGTAAACAAACTACGTTTTTAAGATTTTTACAATAATATAGGAGGAGATCATTCAAACTACACATGATTTTCATCAGGTGGATTTACGGCACATAGACGAAACGCGAGGCACCAATATAGTGGAGCTCGGCGTAGACCTCTCCGAATTCTACACCTCTGTTGAGTGGGACATCCTTGAAGTACCTGCTGTGAGGTATGTGTGAATTTGTGAGCGGCATATGCCGTAGTAGTAACTGGTGCATTCCATGTCGATTTTAAAGTGAAAAATATGGATATAGTGATTAGCTCTAACATTTATTTTCATTAGTTACTATTGTACAAAACATGTTAAAATCATCTGTGGTCGTCCATGATATATTATCTGTATTTTATTTCTTAGACATTATATAATATTCAAATCAAATCAAATCATCGTTACAAAGTTGTTAAACAGATTTTTAGTACAGTACAGCCATATTCTGCCTTATCGGCATGCAATACAATATTTCTAAAAATCATTAGTTTTTTCAATGTCAAATTTCCTCTCTCTCTCTCTCTCTCAAATTAATTGACATAGTTTATTCATTATGTGAATAAACGATAAATTTATGATTGTAATTATTTCATACATGTCATTTTTTTTCTATACTTAGTCTAGAAACTTTTGTCTTTCAAAAATTATACATATATATAGTAACATGTTTCTATTAAAAAATGTTGTAATTTGTTTTTATGGGCGATTATGGGCAATACCTTGAATGCACACAAACAAAAAGCCACGGCCCCCAGTTCCCGGTAGCCCCGTTATTCCTGGTCACGGTGGCGACCACGGTAACGGCGGGGCGGGGGTGCGAAGAATCTCCGGGCTACGGGAGGCCACCACAATAGACTGACCCTGGCGACGTACAACGGACGCACGCTACGGCTTGACTCGCATCTGGCGCAACTCGAGGTGGAACTTGGGAAGATTAGGTGGCACATTTTAGGGTTAAGTGAAGTCCGAAGAGAGGGGGAGGACACCATAACGCTCGAATCTGGCCACCTAATGTACTTCCGCGGGGGAGACCAACAGTCCCAAGGTGGCGTTGGGTTTTTGGTGAATAAGTCCCTTGCCGATAACGTTGTGGAAATATCCAGCGTGTCGAACAGGGTAGTGTACCTTATTATAAAGCTCACCGAGAGGTATAGCCTCAAGGTGGTGCAAGTGTACGCACCGACCTCGACACACTCGGACGACGAAGTGGAGGATATGTTCGATGATATATCGAGGGCCCTCCACTCCACTACTAAGACCCACTACAACGTTGTTATGGGGGACTTCAACGCTAAAGTGGGAGTACAGAATTGCAGCGAATCGGTAGTAGGATCCCATGGATTTGGAAGCAGAAATCATAGGGGGCAAATGCTCGTCAACTTCCTCGAACGGGAGGGGCTCTTCTTGATGAACTCTTTCTTCAAGAAACAACCCCAAAGGAAGTGGACGTGGCAAAGCCCCGACACTATGACTAAAAATGAGATCGATTTCATCATGACGGACAAGAGGTACATATTCAGAGACGTCTCAGTGATCAACAGGTTCAATACCGGTAGTGATCACCGACTCGTCCGGGGCTCTTTGAATATCAACTTTAAGGCCGAGCGCGTCCGTTTGATGAAATCCAGGCTCCAACCTACTCTGCTCCAATCTATAACAGGGTCTGAAACGTTCCAGTCAAACCTGGAGAACCGATTTGCTGCCGTGGAAACCACAACAGACGTAAACCAAAACCTCGAAAATGTGGTTCGGATCCTCAGGGAAGAGGGTACGAGATTATGTGCAACGCAGCGTAAGGGCAGGAAGTCAAAGCTTTCGGAAGAGACTTTAGGGCTAATGAAGGAACGACGTGAAAATCCACCCGTCACTTCGTCGGCAAAGCGGACTCTAAACCAAGAGATCAGTAAGCACGTACGACGCGACCTCCGGTGCTCCAATACTCTCTCGATCGAGAGAGCGATCGAGCAGAATCGAGGATCCAAAGTGTTCGTACAATCTCTTGGAAGAAGCCATCTGACGAAGTTGACCACAGCAAGTGGGGAAGTTGTTGCTTCAAAGCCGGCAGTCCTTTCGGAAGTGGAAGACTTCTACAGCCAGTTGTACGCATCACATGCATCTCGACCCGATCCCGGAAATGAGGATTTTAGAGCCACATTAACACGCCACTTCACCGAAGACCTGCCAGAAGTCAGTATTGGCGAAATCGAAATTGCTCTTGGACAACTTAAAAATGGAAAAGCCCCTGGAGAGGATGGTGTTTCAACAGAACTCTTAAAGGCTGGAGGTCAACCCGTACTGAGGGAGCTCCAAAAGCTTTTCAACACTGTCCTGTTCGAAGGGAGAACTCCGGAGGCGTGGAGTAGGAGTGTGGTTGTCTTGTTCTTTAAAAAGGGGGACAAGACCCAACTTAAGAACTATCGACCCATATCCCTTCTAAGCCACGTCTATAAGCTGTTCTCAAGAGTGATCGCGAACCGTCTTGCGCGAAGACTTGATGACTTCCAACCACCGGAACAGGCTGGGTTTCGGAGCGGATACGGCACCATAGACCACATACACACAGTGCGGCAGATTATACAGAAGACTGAAGAGTACAATCAGCCCCTGTGCCTAGCATTTGTGGACTATGAGAAGGCCTTTGACTCGATTGAAAACTGGTCTGTTCTGGAGTCCCTGCAGCGTTGCCAAGTCGACTGGCGATACATCCAACTGATTAGATGTCTGTACGAAGCCGCCACCATGTCTGTCCAAGTACAGAATCAGCAAACAAGTCCCATACCATTGCATCGTGGAGTGAGACAAGGGGACATTATTTCCCCGAAATTATTCACTAATGCAATGGAGGATATGTTCAAGACGCTGAACTGGAAAGGACGTGGCATCAACATAAATGGCGAACGCATCTCTCACTTGCGATTTGCAGACGACATCGTCATCATGGCAGAAACCCTGCAGGACCTACAACAGATGCTGAATGACCTGGCTGACTCTTCTATACGCATCGGCCTACGGATGAACTTGGATAAAACCAAGGTCATGTTCAATGAACATGTTCTACCGGAACCGATTGCAATACACGGTGCCGTTCTCGAAGTTGTTCAAAAATATGTGTACCTCGGGCAGATATTGCAGTTAGGTAGAAACAACTTTGAGGACGAGGTGAATAGAAGAATTCAGCTAGGTTGGGCAGCGTTTGGGAAGTTACGTCAAGTCCTGACATCGTCGATCCCACAGTGTCTGAAGACGAAAGTCTTCAATCAGTGCGTCCTACCTGTGATGACATACGGAGCCGAGACGTGGACACTGACGGTACGGCTGGTCCACAGGTTCAAAGTCGCTCAACGCGCTATGGAAAGGGCTATGCTCGGCGTTTCTCTGAAGGATCGCATCAGAAATGAGGTAATCCGGCAGAGAACCAGAGTTATCGACATAGCCCACCGGATTAGCAAGTTGAAGTGGCAGTGGGCTGGCCATATTTGTCGAAGAACCGATAACCGTTGGGGTAGATGAGTTCTGGAGTGGAGACCGCGTCTAGGCAAACGTAGTGTAGGACGTCCTCAGGCGCGATGGAGTGACGATTTGCGCAAGGTGGCTGGCAGGAGCTGGATGCGAGTAGCCCAAGATCGATCTAAGTGGCGTGCATTTGGAGAGGCCTATGTCCAGCAGTGGACTATGATAGGCTGTTGATGATGATGATGATGATGAATTTGTTTTTAAATATATTGGTCACGGTAATTTCTCGCACACTTTCAGATAATTTACTATGAATATAAGGAGCATTAAATAAATAATAAATAAATATTTCCGACACTCACACCAATTAGCCTAGCCCCAAAGTAAGCACTATAAGGCTTGTGTTATGGGATGCTAGGGTAACGGATAGAATACATACACTGTACATATATAAGTATATTTATTTAAATACATATTAAACATCCATGACTGGAGTACAAATGCTCGTATTCATCACACAAACATCTGCCCCCACCGGGATTCGAACCCGGTACCTCTCGAGTCGGCGACAGCCATGAAACCCGGCGTACAAACCACTCGGCCACGGAGGTCGTCGACATTTGCAAAACACACTTTTCCTAAATAGTGCCGTATTACAGGGGACTACACAAAGATTTCCAATATGACGTTCAAGAGTTCTGGCCTTATATATTTTAATATTACTTTTTACAAAGTTTCTAAAATACTAATTTTGATCTGCTTCAGGAATGAAAAATTCTACACGTGTTGCGACGAGCCATATCTGGACATAACGTTCAACATTACGATGCGTCGCAAGACGCTGTTCTACACGGTGAACTTGATCATCCCATGCATGGGCATATCCTTCCTCACCGTGCTCGTGTTCTACTTGCCGTCGGACAGCGGCGAGAAGGTCTCGCTCTCCATCTCCATCCTGCTCTCTCTCACCGTGTTCTTCTTGCTATTAGCCGAGATCATCCCTCCTACTTCACTCGTGGTGCCGTTGCTCGGCAAATTCGTGCTGTTCACTATGATTCTTGACACATTTAGGTGAGTTATTTTATAAAATTTATAAACTATGACAAATAAATACATAACCACGATGGAACGTATTAACTATCTTGTAATGAGTTGTTTTGATGTCAATATTGTTGTGGATATCTGGCTAAGTGTGTATCAGCAGCATAAAATTTCGTAGTTGCGCATCAAAATGGACATGAAAATTTTGTTCCGTAGATTTTAGTAGAGCCGCCAGATTCTCTATTTTGATGCTTATCGTCAAAGGCATTCAAGACTTCGTTCATTAAATGAAGAAGTCATCAAATGGACTTAATGAAATCTTGACGAGTCTCGATTGTTCACAAACTGATCTATAAATGATATGTGATGCTGTTAGAATATAATTTCTAACGCATACTGCACTCGGGGACCCTGTTTTGATTATCTATGATCGTCGGAGTGGCTTATCGGCAGCATATGCGTGACGGTGGTGGTGCTGAACGTGCACTTCCGTTCGCCGCAGACGCACACGATGGCGCCGTGGGTGCGCCGCGTGTTCATCCACGTGCTGCCGCGGCTCCTCGTCATGCGCCGCCCGCACTTCCGCGTCGACCCGCATCGGAGCCGATTGTGAGTTCGCTTATCTATCTCACACTGACGAAACTCTGTCAATCAAATGTCGGATGATTTAGAAATTCATTTCAATAATTTTTTCTTTCTTTCTTGAAAGAAAGAAAAAATATTTATTCAGTACCATGACCATTTGACAACATGCATAATGTGGTTTGATACACAAGTATATACATGGTGCTGAAAAGGTCACTCGGCATAATGTCGGAGCATCTAACGATGCTTCGACGCTGGTCTTCCGCAGACATCTACTAATATTAGTTGAAGGTACCGGCTACGCGCAGAAATAAAATTTATTTTAGGTTTACAACTGTGGATAATAATATAATAACCAATAATAATCTATAATGGAATGGAACGTAACACAATATAAAATGGAAGAACATGCAAATGCATTCAGAATATCAGTAAATTTATTAATAAATTATCCAAAAGAGAACTCGTTTGAGATATGAGTGGATATAATTGTGTCCAGTAAATTTGTCTCTCCAAATAGAAGAATGTCTAGAGAAGTCTCTTCCACCTATACAGTCTTCCGTGAGGTAGAGGATATGGGAGGGGGAGGAGTCGATTATTCTATGGAGTATGTAGAGGATTCCAATTGCCAAGGTCAGGATGAGTAATCTGACACGCAGCTCTGACGCACTAGATATATTTGCATTCGAATGACTCTTACACTATCTCTCAGGTATATAATCAATGTCGAGGCTTTTGGATAACTTCGCTTCGGGACGTTTAGACTGAATTCCTTTCGTCTAATATAATAAATATCTATCTATCTTGGCACGGGCACAGCTTTATAGTAAGCATCAAAAGAGGTTATGCACTCGAGTTTTCTCCACTCCTTCACATCGCACTGCAGCTTTTCGCGGGTCATTCAATTTTGCTGCCTCAAAGTGTTGGAACGACCTTCCTCCTCCTATACGTAACCTACAATCGAAGCAAATGTTCAAAGTCAAATTAAAATGCCACTTAATGACATTGCAATGCATGTAAAAACTTTGTTTCCCTGTGCAATCAATTTGCGGAGATGGTCTTCTGAACCAGGTGGTACATGACCCCTGCTGTTATTGTTTGGAAACGAATGACACACATACACACGTAGAGAAATTTAACACCAGCGTTTTAGACACAATTGTGATGAATATGAATATTTAATTATTGATTTATATCAAAGATGTTCGAGGGCATAAAATGTATCCTTGTCAGTCTCTTTACAGAATGAAAAGAAGAGATTGGAGAATTTTCACAACACGTGTTTTACTTTCATATTCATACAAGTGCGAATAAAAAATATGTTGACATTTAACTATAAAATACACTAACTATAAACAAATGAGTCTCTATCTAATTACATAATTACTATATATAAGTAAAATATAAATACTAGAACAATAAAACTAAAACTAAAAACCTTAAAACATAAAATTAATAACTAAAATATATTATTAAAAGGAGTCCCTTTAGGCAAGGAACCGAAGATACTGGCAGCGTTACCTCTTTGAATGGCTAGACTAATTCTTTGTCCAAGGTAGCTGCCAGCTCTTCGGTCTCCTGTGACGTCGACTAACCTTTTTGATATTTCCTTAAATAGCCTTAAAGCGCTAGGACCCCGCGGACCAAGGGTCTCGACACCGAATGGGACAAAATCATATTCGGAGCCTAGACCCCTGTATTTGCTTGCTTTTGATTTTTCAGCCGCTTCACAAGCCGCACCAACTCTGTTGTTGGTTCCATGTAGATGGGAAGGGGCCAGCGTGTCTGAACAGGTCGCATCCCATACCAGCACTCGACTCATCTTCCATGGAATCAAACTCATACCGTCTGGTCTCTTGCCATCGTCTCTTACAATACCAGACGGCTCAAGTAGACTTGGCACTTTGACAGTGGCAAGGGACCGGCGTATGATATCATTAAGTGCGGCATGTCTCGAGAAGCGACCTGCACTTTTTTGGCATGACAGTCCGTGATGTCCTAGCTTGTCGATCGAAGAATTGTGCAGCCAGTTATATATATAGCGCACCTTACAGGCCCTGCCAGAATACCAGCGCTGCTGTCACTCGCATAGTAACGTGTGGCAACAGCATTATGCTGAGGCAGGGTCCCGATTAACCATTAATTTACTTTTATAGTTTTAAGTTAGTTTTTAATTTTGTTTTTTATGTTAATGTTTATGTGTTTTTTCATCGTTGTTGTAATACTCGTAACAAACGGTTAATAAAAAATCTCTCTCTCTTTCATCGATCACCGCACTCGGTATCCCCAAAATCTTAAGCATACAACCGTATCGCAGTCGACGCGGCAAGATATTATTTAAACAATCTTAATAAGCATAGTCAATTGTCAATATGCAGTGCGGAGATCGGGTTCGTGCCCAGCAGTGGATTGCTGGGAGGTGAGCCGGTGCCCTGGGAGGACTGTGGCTCGGACGCGGGTGCGGGTGGTGGGGGTGGCGGGGGTGGGGGCGGCGCGGGCGGCGCGGGTGGCGGCGGGGCCGGGGAGGGCGGCGTGTGCCGCGCGTGCGCGTGCCGCCTGCACGACGCGCCCTCACTGTGCGACGCGCTGCGACGCTGGCACCGCTGCCCCGAGCTGCACAAGGCCATCGACGGCATCAACTACATCGCCGACCAGACGCGCAAGGAGGAGGAGTCCACCAGGGTGCGTGTCGTCGGCGAAAGCGCCTAAATTCTCGTTTTGAATTCCTTTTGCGTAAACATTGCCACTCACGTTTTCTGTAGCTGGCCGCTGAAAGGTGTTATGTTTACATGACGGACGACCCCTTTCTTCGATTCGTTCAAAAACTACAATACGGTGATTGTTTTCGAATGTGAATTATTGATTTTGGAAATCGAACCCTTAAGTAGTACAGTTTAATGTTAGATCTCCGGCCTTCCGTCGCATCTATCAAAGTAAACTCAACATGCACCCATCTGACCTGTCGAATCCGGTTTCAGGTGAAGGAGGATTGGAAGTACGTGGCGATGGTCCTCGACAGGCTGTTCCTATGGATCTTCACGCTGGCGGTGGTGGTGGGGTCGGCGGGCATCATCCTGCAGGCGCCGACGCTGTACGACGAGCGCGCGCCCATCGACGTGCGCCTGTCGGAGATAGCGTACGCGACGGCCAAGCCGCGCCCGCCGCCGCCGCGCTGAGCCGCGCCCCGAAGGCCCGAGTCGCGCCGGCGCGGTTTTTATATTTGTTACCGGACCCGCCCCCGCGGCGCCGCGAGCTGTCCGTTCCGTCTCTTCCGGCGTCCGGGGACGCCGCACCGTTATTATACGAATGTTGTAAATAATATACATATTATAGTTTATACGACGAGCGATGCTATTGAGAATGAGTCGAATTTCTTTTGATAGAGACGAAATAAACCGATCGTTTATAACTTGTTATTTTATTTACTTCGTTGGTAGCGATCGTTTGAAAAACGTTTCGATATCATGATAATTCGGAACCTTGCGGTATATTTATGGAAATGAGATAGAAACGAATTGTGAATTATATTGATGAATATAAATCGAGATAAGAGAGAGCTGATATTAGGATGACGTTTACTCGAGATAAAGGTATGAGATTGATATGAGATTGCGTTGAGATTTAAATAAGGTTGAAATTAGATTCAAATGAGAATGACATAGACATGAAATCTTAATTAATTGACATTGACAATAAGAATAAGGAGACGATGTGATGATGTCAACTGGAGATGAAATTGATTCAATGATTTGATTCCTCTTGGGAATATTCGTTGCAATGCAAACGATAGAACAATGCATGCGAGATACTGTGGACACGCAGCGGCTAGGCAGGTAGAAAGCAAGGACGAACGGGAGAATCTTGTCGCTGAACTCAATCAGGCTTTGGACTACATTTCCGAATGGGGTACCAGGAAATTTCAATGCCAGGTTGTGTTCAATGCTAAGAAAACGGCAAAAACATCGCCATTCCTTCCCCTTCCCACCCTTCAGAGCACAACACTGGCGCTACAGAGCAACATCACCATACTCAGTATGGAAGTTCGCTCAGACCTGAATCCAAAGGACTACATCGAAACCGTGATCAAAACAGCTTCACGCAAACTCGGAGTCCTGAACAAGGCGCTGCGTTCTTTCACGCCCGATCAACTGTGCTTGTTGTACAAAACGCAAGTGCGGTCCTCCTTGGAATATTGCTCGCGCATCGGGATGGCTCAGCTAAGTACTTAATCGATGCCTTGGATAGGTTGCAGCGACACGCTGCCGCATCATTAGCGATGAAGAGGTAACTCGAGTCTCTACAATTACGCCGCGATGTGGCATCATTAAGCGCATTCTACCGACTATACCACAGCGAGTGTTCTGAGTTATTCTCCCTTATCCCTCGATCACCTGTTCTTCAGAGGACCACGCGCGCAGGCCTACGTTGCCACCGACTTACTGTGGCCACTATTACTACACGAACAAAGAAAGGTGACTCATTTCTTTGTCGTACTATTCTTAAGCGGAATTCTTTGCCCGCGCACGTGTTCCCTCCTTCCTTCTATGTAGGTTCCTTTAAGAGAGGCGTGAAGAAGCATTTTTGCAGGCAGGCAAGGTGAGGATTGAGGTTGGTGTGGCAGTTTATAACTGCTGCACCAGCTATCTTCGCGTTTGGACTTTATCACCACTTATTTGAGACACTTAACTAGACATTTGCCTATCTATTTAAAATAACTTTTGATTGAGATGAGACTGCTGACATCCACATTAGATTAACATGATATTGACATTATATTAACCTGAGCTTTACTTAGCGATGACATGAGATCGTAATGAGAATTATTTAAATGAGAACGAAAGAATGAATGATATTTGTAACGTATTTAAGCAATATGCAGGCTAGCAGGGTGAGGATAGCTGGTGTGGCAGGTGGAACTGCTGTATCAGCTCTGTATCGTCTGTACTTTACCTACACTAAACAACAGGTGGGGTGGAGTCATTTGTCGGACCTGTCTATAAAAAAAAGGTGAAATTGTAATTATATATTGAGATGAGATATCTCCTTAGTTATTACTTAACATTGTAACATCTCTAATGAAAGTGGAAATGAAATAGCGGTGGTATAGAAAATAGATTGAGCTGAGTCTTTGTCTATTTAGAGGAGATTAAAAAGAGATTGACCTAAGATTGATGAGACTGACATTAGATTTAAATTAGATGCGAATGAGATGAGATTTAAATTAGATGAATGCGATGATATTTAGGTGAGCATGAGCATGTGAGATAGGACTGAAGTCATTTATATAAGATATCGATCTCCTCAATCTCATCGATATGAAATTGAGAAAATTATGAGATGGTCGAGATAAGATCGAGATGAAATAGAAATCAGATTTAAATAAGATAGACATGAGATTAAACTGAGACTGAGATTAAATTGAGATGGAATTTTGATTGGATTGTGATGAATTTGACATGAGATTGAGAATTACTTGTGAAGAGATTGAAATAAAATTGATATGAAATTGACATGAGATCAACATGAAATTGACTTGATGTGGAGAATGATATAAAATCCACATGAGATTAGGTCTGATTGAGGTGAGACTGACATGATATTGACATAAAAATTACTGGAGATTGACATTAGATTACCTTGACATTGAAATGATTGCTAGACATGAGATTGAAAAGAGATTAAGATGAGATTGACATGAAATCAAACAGATATTGATTACATTAAGATGAGATTGAGGTTCATGTTCACGAGATGGAGAAAATTGTGATGAGATTGACATGAGTTGGACATGTTATTGACATGGTAATGACATCAGAGATGAGATTGACATGAGATTCACGTAAAATTAAATTACCAAATGCGGCCTATATATCTAAGCTGATTGCGACCACCAGTTCTCTTTCCTTTTTTCGCTTTTTTATTTCTGTGATGAATGTATTAATAGCTTGTGTCAGACATCTGGGACCTATGCTGCCATGTGCTTAGTGATCGTTCTCTTATCAGTCTTTTGATATGTGAAACAGGACATAGATCATAAACCGGTGCTGTCTTCTTGTGAGCCGCTTCTTTAGCGAATGTGTCAGCTCTCTCATTTCCTTCTGTGCCGATATGCGCTCTGATCCACGCTAATTTCACCGTTTTGTTTTTGTGCCTTATTTGTTCCAGGTTGTTTTTAATTTTTGTTACTAACGGGTGTAGCATTTTGGGGTTTTCTAGGGACTGTAGCGCTGATCATGAGTCACTTAGTATTGTAAATTATTATTATTATATTATTTATTACTGCTTCCTTGTATTTGTTACCTTTTATCAGTTCTGTGGCCATCAGAATAGCATACAATTCGGCTTGATATACCGAACAGTAGCCTGCCACTTTATTGGGGGGCACGGCAGTGCCACCGCCAAGTCGAGCGCGAAGCAAACACTGCCGTACCATCCTTTACTGGAACCATTTCGCCGCATTTTCAGGCCCCTATTTGACAACTTCTGGATAAGACCAGAACGCAGAAATTTTCGTCATCCAGTACGCTATAATAACATACTTAAAATACAAAATTTCAAGTCTGTAGGTCATTTAGTTCCGAAGTTAAGCGAAAGCAAAGTTTCGCATTTATGACACTCACTCACTCACTCATGATCAGCAGAATAGAACTACTACTTCCCATAAACTCAGAGAGCTGAAAGGTACAGAGTTAGGGTTTAAGGCCACATAAAGGGAAAACTATAAAAACTAGGATAATCGAAGATCTGGAGTACCTCTGACCCTGATTAGAAAACATAAGAGCCCAACCAAACTATTAGAAGAGATCGACATACCGCCTTTACAAAAAATATTCAACTTGGTAGGCCGCTTCATTTGATGTCAAAAATTGAAGGTCTGAAGTATCTGATGAAGAACCCTCAACTGCTCTCAGCTGTATTAGAGATATAATAATGCCCCCTTCTACTATTGGTATACAAAAAATCGACTGTCATTGCAAAAATCCAGCGTAGTGGGACACATCTTTTAATTTAAATTAGACTATAGCGAATGCCAGCCCTTCTACTTTTAATACGCATATAAATAAAGTTAAATTAAAACTCTGGATAACACTAGACTGGCTTTTATACTTATACTTACGAGTTTACAAAAAAAAATAGTCGAACGATTAACTTTATTCTATTCGAACATTACACAAATTAAATAAACAAATTACACTAAAATATTAATTTCGCCCAAAATTTGGTCAAAATATAATGCATTTGACTAAGAATGGCGGTGATACCAAGATCTAAGTCTAGAAAATGCCCTCATGGACATTGACTCCTCCATATTCTCTTGTGGCAAAGCCTACGTGGCGCTTTCACGAGTAACCAATCTTCATGGGGTGCACCTCATAAATATTGACTTCAAGAGTTGACTGCTACTTCATGTAGCACCTGGTTTTGTACCCTTGTGTACCCTTCAGCGGCCAAGTCACACAACATTAACTATAATAATAAAGAAATCGCAGTAAGGAAACTTAGACTTGGCAAGACTGTCTAGATTTTATTACTTTTTAGAGATAAACAAGCAGCTCCATTGAGACTTGGCTAGTTTTTTACAGAATGTTTTTGGTGGGATCAGTCTGACACAAACCTCCTCCCGTACGAGGTGCATTGTGTGTGCTGTGAGTGAGAACAGTTGATTGTAGCATTAGTGATGTTGAGCAAGGCTTGTTTTTAAGTTCATCATCGTCTGAGGCTGTCGTTATGACTTTTTTAGTGCACGCTACGGTAAGTGTGTAATCTATATTTGTGGTCACTGGGCTGTGTTCGGTTCTGTTGTTTTGACATAACGGTGAAAAATTGATAATTTAAAAACACTATTTTATTTACTGCATTAAAAAGCCAAAAATAAACAAAATATACTGTATGTTTATTCCATTAGGGCCTTAGAGTAAGCCATGTTTAAATAGTTTATTTTAACATACATATATAACTGAAAAAGCGTGGGGCGCTATTCATTGCAATATTTATCAAATCAATTAATATATTACGTGATTCATAATGCTTAACTTATGTCTGCTATTAATAATGAATATACGCAATTCAGTTGAAATTTAATAATGAATCGCCCCACGCTTTTTTTACAATATATTTGAGCAGGAGTCTTTACTTTCTATGTCTAGAAGAAAAGTGGCCAAGTACGAGTCGGACTCGCCCATGAAGGGTTCCGTAGCAGCAAGTAACATAATATACACAGTCAGGGGGCCATTCGCCTAACGGAAATGCTATGGAAAACGCTAACGCTTTCGATTTTATTTTGTTATTTCTGACCGCCGAAGGTTTTCAAATACCTCACGCTCATTTTTTTTATATTGTTATTACCAATGCAAAAGAAAAAAAAGAGCGCGAGGCATTTGAAAACCTCAGGCGGCTAGAAATAACAAA